GTTACCACGCGTCACACATCTACGACGCGCCAATTGTCGTGGGAAACCAACGTCACATATATGTGACAACGATGATCGCCTACTTTATATTCGTATAAACAACTAAAGAAAGAACTGTAGATCAGTGTCACAATATGTCTGATAATACATTCAGAATATTCAGTTGGTCTAGTTAATACATTTTATATTTGCATGTAATTAAAAGTATGCGCTACATTAAGTAAAATTATTACAAATGTAACGTAGTTTATGGCAGATGATTTTTCGATCGAACGGCGGTAGCAAACTTATTAAGTATGAAAATGTAAAAAATGGTTATACATTGAACTACGTATCACTTTTAAATACCGTCAAAATTCGACATACGTTCACACGTGTACACTGTGTGCCTTTACGGTTGCTATTGTCCGTTTGAAAAATATAGAATAGGTACGCGAGTCATACCCCCTGTGACACATCAACTGGTACGCCAGTCCTCACCTGGCAAATGATTAGAGACTCACGCGACATCTCCTGAAATCCAATGCAAGTATCTCTTCGGGCAATGTTTACTTCACATTCAGATTTATTTGTCGCGAGAATCGTACATTTCTTTTGCTCCTTATGACAAATGAAAAATATACACTAACGAAACACATATCGATTAAAAATATCACTTAAAGAGCGTTTAAACGAATCAACCTGTTTTCAACAAACGAACGTCGTGAATACCGACAGTCGAGCGTAATACTGTCTCCAAGAAAAGCATCGGCCTCCGCACGTTAAACATACAATCAAACATGAAAACATTCGATCGCTCGGAACAGACGATTGCCGCGAACAAAACGTGACATTCAACTTACCTACCACCGTGGACATTTTCGTCTTGCGTGCTGTTCTACGTCTGGTCCAAGTTTTCTTTCGACCGTTATGTTAGTGATGGTAAGAAACCGTGACGATTGAGTGCATGTTTAGCGGTGTGATTGCCCACTGGCGATCCTATCCAATCTTGTTCTCAACATACGAAGGTAACAACACCAAGTCTCGGAAGTATCACCGTAGAGAGAATAGTACGCCTGTGTGGCGCGAATACTTTGAAAAAAACAAGGACAGCTATTCGAATGAATGGACACTCCTCGTGCTTCGCAAACGAAAAGACCGCTCGTCGAAATTATATAACCTCCGTGGCAGCAAAGACGATATGATACTGGCAAGACGATGTTTTCGCACTAGTTACTAACCACGCGGCCCGGCAATACCACTGCTACTACTGTTACTATCGTTAACCCACTCGTGTGGTAAATCGCCTCCTTTTTAAAAGGCTGTCTCGGCTGTCAAGTATCAGCGATTATTTTTACACATTCTATTCTTAAATACGATATTCACATTACGCGATAAATAACGTTAAACACATTTTAATATTTAGGCGCACACACTTAACACGCATTCTGACAACCATATGCTCTTTGCAAAGATAATCTCGTAGCGTGGTACACAGATAGCACAATTTGTTTACCGACGGAATATTAACACGCACGATGTAAAATTAGAAAACTTTTCGTCGGGATTCAAATTAATTTTGTTGAAATGTTTTTTTAAGCAAAAATATGAGAGGGACCTCTCGTCGTGATACTTCGAAGCACAAGATTACGAGGCAGCCTTGAAAAACACCAAACTCGTGGAAATTACGATAATACTTTTAATGATACTATGCACAATTCAGTCGTGTTTCCGTGAACCTTTGTATACTCGTAATAAAAATTATAGTTTATTATTTTTACTATTAGTCAAATGAGAAAGAAAAAAAGAGAGCGAGAAATGTGTGTACCGTGTGGCTTGATTGCCACATGTACACAGACTACGCGCAACATACAGCCGAACCCGATGCTCGGACGTTTTCGTAAGTCTTCGGCAAGTTAGCTATGTCGACTCGTTTCATCCTATTCTCCTTCTCTCTTCCTTTCTTGGGTTCTTTCCCTATTTTCTCCTCGAACACTTCTTCGTACATCCTTTCACACGACCCATATATAACTATTATTCTTATTCCTGCTTCAATTCGCTCATTAAACGATCCTTAATTTAGTACAAGGAAACTGTTTCATAAGATTCAACAGATTGCTTCCCCACCCATTCTTGTTCGCCTTTATTTATATATGTATCATGCATATTTTCTCCACTGGTTTCACGACGTGAAATTACGACTTCGATTCATAGAAAATTTATCAATGTACAAGTGTAAACAAACAAAAAATAAATAAACTTAGAAAGCACAGATCTAAAAAAAAATATGACTGACACAGGAAGTCTACCGATTACATTGACGTGTTTTAATAACAATGTCACGTGTTTTCAATGAGGTCATCTCAAGATCGACTTACACTTTAAATTATCAACACTGAGTAAAATACATAGAAAGCAAAAGTAATTTCTGTCAGGTGTTGTCGTAAAACTGTTAACCGACTATTTAACTTATCCTATTTGCAATTTGTTAAACTAAATGTTCTCGATACTGTATTCACAAGCATATATTTATAAACAAAATATTACGACGATATGAAATACCATCACGCATTTTATGTAATGTTCTCTGTCTTCTAATTAATTAAGGAAAAAAGGTATGTTCAACAGTAATATAATAATTTGATAAGCAATTAACTACGCGAAATGTAAAACAAGAAAAATTGGGAACCACATGAATTCGATATATCGGACAGTAGTAGAACTCGCATAATTACAATGTTCCTTCCATGGCTTCCATAATTCCATTAAGTTAGTTTTCTTGTGCGCGTTTAGCGGTCGATTGTATCGATATGTAATAACATAAAGCAACTTTACACATTAAGGAAAATGCATGAACACGAAAGGTAAATAAATTATTTAACATTAAAAATATAATGTCATGAAAAAAAAATCAAATATTACGTTGATATTGTAAATTTTGAGATTATACCATAAATTGCACAATATTGCTTCGATCAAATTATTTAAATAAAAAAGTTTGAAAACATATTGCTATACCAACTGGCATACGCATAAATATTTTCCTGTTTCAATGAATTTGTTCTAACGGTTTAAGTAACATCCATTATTTTTTTTTAATCCTCGTAATTCAAGTAAATAATTAACGAACAAAAAACAGATAAATGAAAAGTATATGCGCCATTGTAGACATTTTTACAAAAATCCTCCTAATGGACATCCACATGGACCGCATGGTTGTCCTAACCTCAAAACATAACCTCTATTGGGTTCAAGTATGCAGTTAATTTTAACTGCACCGAAAGATATATACGCGCACACGTATATAAAATGAAATATATACGTATGTATACAAACATAGAATGAATATCAAAACCGTATACTCGAGATTGCGAAGAATATTAAGCAAACGAAATACTAAATTAGCAATTTATACTCACCAGCATTCGGAACAAAGCGCGGTGCGTTGGCCGTAACCACGGTGCTGTAAGCTTGGGGCGAATGAACACTTTGTTGATTGACGTTCACTAGAAGTTGAGGTTGATGCTGAGGCGGATTATGGTGGGGCTGTTGCGAATGATGATGATGATGGGGCAGGTGGTGATGCTTCCCTTTCGTCGGCATGCTCATCGCAGGCGTAGGCCTCCTTTCTTTAAACTCTCCACTATCTTCAAAGCTTGTTGCCTTATGTGGCTCTCGGCGGTCCTCATAGGTACGTTCTTTTCTCACGCACGTAGGTAACCGTAATTTTTGTCGCAAGGCTTCTTATTCAAACAAACTTCGCTGAGAAATCCAACGTACACAAAATGATGGTTAGCGTTCGGTCACCCGTACGAAACTGATGGCACGTTTACACGCGCGCGCACTTTAGACCTGACCAATTCATGCACAACACTTCGTATCCTGTTCTTCTACGCCACTTATCTTAAAATAACACTGTTTCCCTTTGTATTCGCTGGTAAATTGTACCTACGATTGTCCTACACGTCGTCTTTGTCCGTTGGTTCATTCGACTGAAAGTGTTTACGCTCTTATCACTTTCTTTTTCCAAGATTCGCGCGCGGTTGCAGTATTCAACTGCGCACGGTCACGTACTTCTTTTCGTAGTACTAATAGATTATTATCGTCAATAACCGTACGCCGTACGCCGTTCTACCTGCCTAAAATGTTGCGTAAATTGTCTGACAAATAGCAGATGACTTGTTTTCGCGTAAGAAAAAAGAAGCGACTCGCACCATACATTGAGCACAACCACAGCACGCCTTTCTTCTCATTTCTTCGCGTCTAACATTCCTTAACGGTGATACAAAAGTATTAATTCGTAAAACGTTTTACAATAGAAAAATTAAATATGAATAAAAAAAAATCATTGGTAAATAATTAATTTTCATTAAATGCACGTTAATTAATCCGTACGAAAGGTATGTACTATTTTTTTGAAACGACATAATCGAATTTGTGGTAATGCAGTGAAACAAAATCATGCAGCAACCAATCACGTATTTAGCACGAACTATATAACGAACATAGAGTCGATCAAGTAATTGTTTCATTGGTTCGTGTTAACCAAATTCTTATGCAACTATATATATAGTAACATGTCCAAAACTGTATGAAAAAAAAATAAAAATCCTTTGATAAAAGGTTTTTAAATGTTTCTGCATATCGCGATATTTTACGATTATTGTTCGCAAATGATTTTATTTATTGTTCATACTTGCCATGCGATGAATAAAGCTATTATTAAGCTACGCAAATGAATTTTACTACACTTTATATTAATAGATAATACATTGTCCAATTATAAAATATATATAGATATTAAGTGTTCCATGCTATTATAAATTTAGATACGATGCGATTACATCATTGAAACAGAACATATTAAAAATTAAATGTATTTAGTGAACATTTAATGGAAAATTTGAAATAACAATCATATACAAATGTACAAGCTTAACTATATGTGTAATATTAATATTTAGCACAGAAATATCGTAGTCGTTATATCAAATCACACCTTATCTACCTTTACGTACCTTTACGTATTATATATATCTTTTTGTACCGTAATTATGTGAACAGTTTAATATATTCAGAAAAATAAGTTACGTTAGTATATCATAATAAAATATAATCCTAAACTATCGCTATATTTCTGCGTTTTAAAATTACACGATAAACACACGTTAATGAAATTCTTGATTACAGAAGCACAATCGGCAAGCTTGTAAAAAGAAATGTAGTAAAATTTAAAATTAATATACATTAAAGAAAGAAATACGATGAGGAATATGGAATGATGTAAAATCCTTTTTTGCAAACTTATCTCGTCGTATATATTTCCAACTATATTATTAAATTTATTTCTATTGTAACCTCATTCGTTGTTCTATCTTCAAAATTCAGTTTTGTTTCTTGCTGTTCGCCATAACTATTCCTATTTTACGATTTGGAAATGAGTTCTCGCGGTAAATTGGAAACTGAAAAGTTAAAAAAGAATTTAGAGGCTCAACTGGATAGACTGGTGGAGCAACTGGAAGATATAGAGGAAAACCGGTATAACAGAAAAATTATTTCTCTTTGAGATCCATTCGATGTTAATAGTTTTGAATTTTGTAATATATATATAAATTTGTGAAATTCTGCTTTTCATAGAAATTTATTTGATGCAAGTACTTACGAAGAAGCTATAAGACTTACGAAAGAAGATTTGCAAGAGTTTAACGAAAGTTTGCAAAGAATGTTGTCTGGCGATACAACATTAATCGATGAATTGGGTGTAATACAATTGGTACGTTCTAAACACATATGCTAACTTTATAAACGATTTACAGATTAAAATGTGCATAGTTATGTAAATACTAAATAATATGTTAGTTATAATATACTCCCAATTTTGAATAAATAGGCAACTCAAGCAGCAATTTGCGAAGCATTCAAAACACCAGCAGTTATAAGAATGTTTGGTAAACGAGAAACAAAACAACTTAGAGAACGTTTAACACAAATTGATTGTGATACAAAACTTGGGAAAATAAGCAAAGAGTGTAGCGATCATCAACGTGGAGAGGTACTACACGCATTAAGACAGCTTGGAGAGAAGCTAGAACCTCAAGAGTTACAATTATTGGAAAAGTTAAAATCTAGTAACATTGATACAACAAGTTATGTGCAAGTAACTGAAAGTACAGACAAAGGCCAAATGGCTTTAGCAGTAGTAGGCAACGAAGTTCGAACTACTCAAAATACTTAGATTTATGTCGTATATTATATATATAATAATTTGTAATTCTTTATGAAATTTACTTTTTATCAGAAATTCAATATTTCCCACAAAGGAAAATAATAACTATAGAACGAGATTTTATGTAATAGTGAATGTATTCATAATTTTACATTTAATATGCTTGTGCATTGTGGATCAAATAAGTATTTATCTCTAGTTGTATTATGCAATTGTTATTAATATAATGTATATAAAATATGTTTTCAATTCATTTAATTGCCAACTTTACGTAAATTATTTATAAAGATAAAGAATCAAATAAATTACTTTACGTATATTATATTTCAAATCATATTGCTGTTGTCAATATGTATAGATACATAATCTATACAAATAGACATTGAATTAATATGCTGAAAAATTCAAATATAATACTAAGGACAACCATATTGCAATAAAAAAAAGTATTTTTGATTATTGGTTTTTATTTCACATTAAGGGGCTTTTTAAACAAGAACCAGTAGTTAGAAACTAGTTTTCGAAAAATATTCATGTTTTTCTTTTTTTACAACAAACCAAAAATAAAAAAGAAAAGATATGCGAATATGTCACAGTCAGCAGATGCCAACTAATGTATCATGTAAAAATGCTTTACATCGGATAATAAAAATTTAAGAAATGTCTAAAAAGAAAATTATTTATTAGAAACCTATAGCATCTCTTAAAAACATGCGTAATTATTGGTTTTCTGTACTTTGAATATAAAATAAAATAAGGTTTTTATTAATAACAATTCAGATTTTATAGGAAAAATAAAGACAGTCTTTAAATATTTGTTTGTATACATATTAGAAACATTAGCACTTAAGGAGAAAGTTTACAAAGACGTGTCAAATTGGTGTCAAGAATATATTAATGTGCTTCTACAAAGTATTTTCTTTTTACAAACACAGTAATTGTTTTAATTTTTTTTTCCATAAACTCATTAGTTGATGAGAATATTTATTGCATCCATTATTAATTAGCGTTTACGTCTGCAAACTCTTTTATGTTCACGTTGCCAGTGAACTTGTTGGCAATCAGTACTGCAGTATGCAGTATTCCAACAGCAGTGGTATATTGCTTCAGCTTCACAGTTATAACACTGAAATTATAACATTAACCATAATACATGTATAAAAATTATATGTATAAGGAAATTATTAAAGAATAATTACCCATTGTTTCTTTTTTATTTCTGATATAATTTGTTGATGTCTATCTGTCAGTTGTCGTAATTCTTTAGCGTGTTCAGCTTGTAATTCTTCTAATTCTTTACATTTCTCAAGTTCTAATTCACGACGTAATTTTTCTAATGCTGTCGTAGTAGGTTGTTCAGAAGTTCTGCGTTCCCTTTTTATCTACAAAATATAATATTGTAAATTCGTGATATCGTAGAAATAAATGCACAATGATTGTGTGCTTGTAATGTGAGATTCAGATATTTTTACCTTTGCAGGTATTGCTTCTGTTTGTATTTGTTCCGTTTGGACAAGAACACACTTGGATCTTGGTTCTTGAGAACTGGACGTAACCATATCCTCTTGTGAGCCTTCTTTCTTCAAACCTTGAGGACAGGTACTAGATATTTCTCTTGCAGGTTCATCTTCTGCCACGGGCAAGCACGGTACTTGTCTTTCTTCGCTGCCAGCTTTACTTACTGCCGATTTGTCTTCATTATCTTTTTCCTCTTGAATTGATGGCAGACCACTGTGACCGTCCGAGCTGAGACGTTCAACTTTAACTCTTAAGTCCTTAAAAACTTGTATCGCAGGATTAGAATTGTTCGCCGTATTTTTCGAATCTGATGAAATATTTCGGATTTTTGTCGGTTTTGGACCCTCATTATCGTCGCTGATGTCCAATTCCCCGATGCTCTTGCCCAACTTTTGCAGCAAATTTTGATGATGCTTCAGTTCTTCAAATGCTCTGTTCCAAGCAGTGGATCTTTTTATCTATGAAAGGTAAATTGTGCACGCTTTAAGAAAATTGATTTTCTTCTGATTGCACAATGAAACACAGTGGTCAGAAATTAGTTGTACACTTTAGGCCACTGTATGTGCATACCTTCATTTCTTTCCACTTTCCTTTTTCCGAAGGCTATGCAAGAATTCGTTGTTAAGATAATAATATACCTAAGTGCAACAACAATTTCTAAATTGCTTTCTCTCAACTGTTCTCTTCTATTGTGTCAGTGATACAATACACTGTAAATGGCGTGTAACCTAAACCGAGAATTTCATAGTGTTCGCGTGACAATTTCGCGTGGAACGCCCGAAGATTTTTTAACTTATCTTTACCTGTAAACTTTGCAGACTTGCAGTAATCGGACGAATGAAAACTTTTTCGATGTTGGCACGCATGTGATGACCTCCGAAAAACCGGACATCATAAATGTTGCCATTAACTTGCATTACTTTCGCTGGCCAGTATGGGTATCCCTTTTGCTTTGCATACACTAACTGATGAGGTGGATTACAAGGTATACAAAACCACATTTTCTCAGACTTTTCATTCGATATTCTATAACAATCAGCACAACGTCGTATTTCTTGAAGGTCGTAACAGCAATCTTGATACATCGTGAGACCCATTTCTCCAATTACACTGTGAGCTACATATACAGATTAAAATTACAACATTACCATTAGTCATATACAAAAACTTATATATTGCGATTACATACCCCCATGATACACAATAATATTGTGCAAAATATTATGTGCATCAGCTTCAAATTCAGCAAGAGTAGTATATTCATTTTTTTTAATTTTTGAATCCATTATTGCCAGGTCCATATGGTGTTTTATAAGAACACCTGGTCGCCATGCATCTTCACCTTCGCTGATCCATGTTGGTCCTGAATGTTTATTAATTGGTGTAATAGGATCGTTGTTAAAAACAATAGTGCGATTTGTAATTTCTGGTGGCAATTTTGCTTTCAAATGTCCACAAGTGAAGCTTAGAATGTGGTTGAGATCAACTTTGTCCGAGTATGTGTCGTTATTTATACTCTGTAACAATTATTTTTACTTTACTGATACATAAACGTTAAAAGATTAATTCTAATACTATATACTTACTTCGCAGAAATTACATATTTTTAATTTAACGTTACTAGGCACATAGCATTCAGAGTGGTAAACTCTGTAACACTGTTGACAGCATTCCATTGTTCCTGCCCTCTGACATTTACAACAGTACCAGTCATGACCATCGTTAAATGTGATATCTGTTGGTAGTTTATAACTTTCTTGTTCTATACCATTCTTGGTTGGTACTTTCTTTAAATGTACAAGTCCATCGCCGACTGCTTTGTTTAATTCTTCCTGAGCTTCTTGTTCAGTAATTCCATAAACCCGAGCTAGGTGTCGTACCATACGTTCATTACTAGGTAAACTTCTCTGATGTACAGTTATTTTTATGGCATCCCATATTCGTTGTGTCATGAACGGATCAGTTTTTCGACGTATAGACATTGTGGTAAATAAGCACTAGAACATACACAAAATGAATAATAAACTAACATGTAATTAATTTATATAAATAGGTTTGTTGTAATAGTTCCTTCCTCATTATTTTCACAGAACTACAGATTTGATCAATGACTGCAAGTAAAAAATATGTATTTTTTTTTAGCAATAGTAAAACTATCTTCCAAAGTTTTAACAACTTTTAACAAGACATTTTCCAACAAAAATTATAAAGAATTTAATATAAAACTTTCTTATGTCCCTAATAGTTTTCAAAATAACATTAGGAGCTGAAACTTTGGAGGGTAGTTTTATCTCTTAAACTTGAGTTACTACTGCCAAAAGAGAAAATATATTCTTTATTTTTTGCCATTCTATAAACCTCAGAAATATCATCAAAATTGATGAACAGGGAAGAGAGTCACTGTATGGATGTTTGTAGTTATATGCCTCTATTACAATGTGTATTACTTAATAAAATTGTACATTAGAAGTGCTAAAGTTTGTTTAGTAAATGCATGAGTATTTTATTCTACAAATATAGTCAGTACCTGCATTTATTGGTGCATAGATAAATAATCAATGTACCCTCATACTCTGATATTGTCATATCTAATATGTGTAACAGTTACTTAGATACCCCCGTATTTAACGTAATTTATCACTGTATAATACCTACGCGCAACAGTTTGTCTAAACAGTCCTTTTTTAAACTGCATGAAGCATAAATGTGAATAGTTGCACTTCTCAAAACTGGCTAATGAACTCTGCACAGAAAGTTTTAAGTTTTGAGTTGAGTTGATTATTAATGCGTTGTATAATGTATTTTATAGTTCTCAGTGTAGGAGCATACACATTATTGTTGTCCAGTTTTATTACAATTGTGATAATGTTAAGGAAGCAATTTAAGCACTGGATTTATACGCCAATATACATTTTCTCAATATCTGACGTGTTATTCTCTATACTTACATCAAGTATACTACTTGTAAATTATGTGGAAAAGATTGCTTATTTAGATCATAATAAATCATATATCTTTCCCTTAAATAACAGTATCTGGTACGAAGAAGATGGATTCAATAGGATTCGTGAAAATTTTAATAATATTACAAATCAAAGTGATTTTAGCATAACTTCTAAATGTAACATCATAGATGTAATGATAAAGTATGGAATGTTGTTTATTCCATTTACGAATTCATTTGTTTCTTTATTGATATTCTCTGTTCAATGCAATTTGACTGTAATTTGTTTTAAAAATCAATGTTTTAAATTTCTTGAATCTCAAGAATGTGTTATGGAAAAAACATATGAAAACAAGAATACTGCAAATAAATCTAAACCACAAAATGTGGAAAAATGTGAGACAGTTGAATATGATAAAATACAATTTGATTCAAAATCTAACTTAACAAAACACACAAATATTTCAACAGTGAAACAGAATACAAGAAAGTTCTTGCAAGCTTTCAAGTGTGACGAAATGAAGAAAGATAATAAAAAGATTACTAGTGTATTTGTAATAACCCAATGGATCGTACCAATTTTTGTTACAGGAATTCTCTACTTAACTGAATATGACAATAAAAGTTACATTAAGAATACAGAGAGCACAAAGTGTTTGATCGAAAATAATTTTTTTTTTTACAATTGTCATAGCAATTTTAAATTTATGAACATTCCAGAAAATTATTCTGAAATATATACAATACCTTTATACAAGGATTATATTGATAATCAAGATTTAGTAAACTTGCCCAATTCAAGCAATACACAAGCGAATGAAATAGTAACTAAAGTACAAACAATTATTTATTCTGTATTAAATGATACATACAATGTATCAAATAATATGTACAATGCAAATCTTTATAATACCTCTCTTTTGTTCGATACAATGAAAGATTTGCAATTTAATACACATACAACGATTACAAACTATTATAATAATAGTATTGTAGATGTTGAAACAAATTCAACAGAAAACGCATTGATCAAAGAGTATGAAAACTCTTATGATATAACAAATACTGAGAACAGTACAAGTTTAATAAATTATGTACAACCGAATAATAATACGAATGACTATAATGAAAAATTATTATCATTTAATCATTTAGTGTTAAATTCCTCAGAAAACACATTAGTAAGAAAAAATAATTCAAAAAATGAAATTACAAATATCACTGAAAGATTAGAATCTGACAAATTTTATACAGATAATTTTCAAACTACTGCAAATGAACTTGCAGAAGTAACTATGCAGCATAATGCATCAATAATGCAAAATAAATTAAATAAAAATCAGCAATATAATAGGAAACAGCAGAAATATAAAAAGACAGAAGAAAATTTTCAACATAATTCTACGGTGGACCATCAAAATATGCCATCAGTTATTGAAATTACTATTTATCAGAATGATAATATATCAAAAATAACTTCAATATACATAATGCATATATGTTTTATATCGACTCAATTTTTAAAATTACATTTACTTGTACTTATATTTATAATATACTTCTTGCCGATTTTATTCTCTTCAATCTTACAACAACATGGTAAAATGAATTGCCAAATTGCTTTAAATAGATTAAAAGTAAAAAATGAAATGTTATTGATCAATTCCAATGACAATTTTGTTAACAATATTAATGATACAAGTTTCAATAGCTGTGTAGATTATAAAGAAGTTTCTGAAACAAAACAAGATGCTATGCAATCAAATGGAAATTTTGAAGAATTGAACAAAGATTTGAATGTATTGGAACAATCAGAAATGTATAATGAAGATTCCAACAATGATAGAAATGAACAACATATGAGTATTGAATATGATAGAAAAAAGATGTACTTAAAACTGGCCAAACAAATGGAGAACAATTTACAGCTTTTGAATACTATGAAAATATCTTTATTATCCGGAATATTATTATGGACACCTATATTTTTGGAAGTTTTATTTAAAGTATTCACACATTTATATATACCTGAATGGTTTTTAAATATCACATATCTAGGTGGTATTGCGTTCGGTATTTTACGAAACATATTTAATCTTAAAATGATAAAACTTCAAGAAATTGATACAAGCATTACAAAAACAAACAGCGTTTATCCTATTAAGTGAATCATAATTAAACATTATATTTATTTGTACGATTATTTGCAGACAGATTTGTTTTTTGGGATATTTAATTGTAACTTCGTATTAAAAATTCTATGTAACATATATTCGTAGTTTTGCTTATAAATGGCGTTACAGTAGTCCATTACCATTAACTCTTCAAGTATAAAACTACCAAAACTGTTGCTGTTATTATGCAATTGAAATTTATTTTAACAAAATTACTTTGATTGTAACGATATCGCAATAATGACGAATAAATACTTTTACTTTGTCGATATTGCAATTTCTCATTAATCTGTAATTGTAATTACAATCGCTAGACTTGATAAAAATCTAAATTTGCTTACCAAAGCTGACGCACAAACTTGCAGTTCATGTACTGTTACTTTTCGTTCATGAATAAAAGTTTCAGAATAAAATCACGATCAATTGTCAATTCATACTTTCGTGTTTTATAACAAAACGTGATCAAGATAAAAGAAAAATTTTTGTCGACGCCCGAAAGCAATAATAAGACAATAATTAACGTTAGAGACGCACAGCTATATTATACGTATCGCGCACGTCATAAGTTTAACCTAACCCTAAAAGTGCGCGCGCATCTTACAATTCAAAATTTTATACCGTCAAATCTACACTTTTGTAATAAAACTACAAAAATTGTACATAACTTTAAAATTTATATACTACTAGAATAATTACGAAATTAAATGTTAACAATTATTATTGTTGAACTTCGCACGACTATCACTCTGTTATTTTTATGTTTTATTTAGTTATTATATTTGTTCTTGTACTTCGTAATAATAATGTAATGAAAAATTTAATTGGGGCTGTATGGTATTTCGCTTAAAATATATTTATACAAAGTTATGTACTAACTTAGGGTTGTTGCATTTGAACATAATCGAATTATATTTAATTGTTGCTAAATATCGTTTCATATCTATTATTACGCTTGAAATTGTCTATAGGTTAAAGAAAGTATAGAAGAGAAAATTATATACATAGATACATTTATACTTTTCAATTACATCATTGATCACTAATATATTTTCATAATGGACATGTAACTTATAAATAATTAATTGTAATAGTACGCTACTTATAATTATTTATCACTAGTAATTATAAAGCACATTAAATAAAAGTAAATAGAGAACATTATTTTTCAAAATTACAAAGAAGACTGAGATAAACCAATTTCTTCCTGTAACTTTTTTAAGATTTGTACGCCATCGCTCCAAGGAAATATGCGAGCTTTTACTTTTGGAATTTCATGATTTTCAGTACCGTTTAAGATCTTCATGAGCATATAATCTTTACGCGGAAATGCTAAATCTCGTTCAGAGAGACGTAAAATTGGACATAAATCGTTTTTCCCGTCTCCGACGTATACTATTCGATCGAAATGTACTCCCTCATCGCGCCGTTTTTTTATGTAGGATTCCAAGATTTGCCCTTTGCACAAATTAACAGTACTTAATTTACAAAAATCCTGAACGTGGTACATATCTAGCCGTATTACACCGTTATCATCGAGTTTCGCGGGATTTGTAAACACTTGAGTGATAATGTGATCTAATTTTTTACTTTTTAACCAATCACTAATGAATAACGTATTTGAATCACTAATGATAATAATTTCACAGCCATTCGAGTGTAATTCTCTCAGAAGTTTCTCGATACCCGGTACAGGAGGTATATTGACAATGGCACGTTCGATTTGTTTTATGTCGATGCAATTGCTGTGTAGCAATTCGAATATCTTCGCCATGTACGCAATCCAACCGCTAGAACGACATAATTCCTTCACGCTGTCTGTTAATTTTTCCTGGGGCAACAGCTTTCGAGCCACGACGTCGGTATTGTCATTGGTAATCGTATGATCAAAGTCGAATGCGACGAGTACGGAATGCATCTATTAAAATGCAAATACATTACAAAGACAAGTTGTTTCAGCGAGATAAAACATTTTTATGAATCTCGTGTGTTTTAATGCGAGTTACTCGATTTAAATATTCCCGCAAATATTCGCCCTTTTTCCCGGATAACACGAGATCGCCGAACAATGCGTACAGCCCTGTACATTTGTATATTTGCTACCATTTCTGTCACTATATATTTTGTTGTACTATTTTTAATACTTGCGAAAGGTGAAATTAATGACCGTATCATTAACAAAATATAAGATTATATAATAATCACATATTTCAATAAGTGTATGTATTATTTTAATTACGAAAATGATATCGATACACTGTAGAAATTATATACGTTACTTACTGTTAATAAAATTGTCAAATATTCACGAAATTGTAATTATGATGGTATATAGTGTAAGAAAAATTAAGAATACAAGCGAACCCTCAGACAGGTGTCTGGCGACTGTCTCTTTTAGGTTAAGCGTAACAGAGATCATAAAAAAATAGTACATATACTCCCCTCGAGTATGCATTTGTATATACACAAACACATGACTTGTAGTAATTATAAATTACATATCTATGTTACCTTTATAATATTCCATTCAATTCTTAAATTTACTTTTATACAATTATTAAAAATTGTCTATTTATTGAAAACGTTGCTGTAATATTTGTTGTTATTTAAGCATAAAATTACTTAATTTATACTATTTTTTAAATACGTTAGCTTATTTAAATTTGTTTGCATACAAGAAGTTCCACAATACTATTCAAATATTTTTCAAAGTATTTAATCATTATATATTGTAATAAACTCAACTGATTTATGTCTGATCATATATATAACATAATCAATAACTGCAATTTGTTATATTTTGTGTGTATCAACATATGAGAAAGAAATGTACATATTACATACAAGTTGAATCACTATTGTCATAGGATATCGTTTTGTGTACAAAATATTTCTATATTTTTTGCGGAAATGTATTTCTAAAGAATTTATTAAACAATGTAATTTTATATGTTGTATTGTTACAATATAACTTACTGTAAATTCAATGCTGGTTACATGTTTTTAAGAATCGTTAATGTTTACGAACAACAGAAACAAAACGTGTCTTGTCAGTTCACAGTTGTCATCACTTGTCACACGCGCCACATTGTACCAGATGCTTGGTAAAACGCATGCGTAGAAATGTGAATAATAAGTTTCCAGCCAGTTTAAATATAAAATATGTTTACATTTCATCTTTTAGAAAGAAAATATATTTATTCAATTTATTAATACATTATTAAAGTTAAAACTATGTATGCAAGAGATACTGAAATACCTGGCAATGAATTCGAAGACGGAGACTTCTTGTCGATAAAGGTGCATAGATATTTATACATAACCTATAGTTACACGCCGATTTCTTATTAATCGATTATAATATTAATAAAAATAATAATAAATCTTAATATAAGTATTTTAAAAATAAAATTAATAGGAGAAGTATGCTTAATTCAATTTTTTTTTAATTTAACATAATTAAGGAAAGATAATTATAACATACAGTAATGTTTGTACATGTGATATTAAAGTAACTACTTATTGTTCACAGAAATGTTCTTTATCACAGAATGTAGATGCATTTGATCCATTTAAAGATATAGATGATGACGAGGAATACAGTTTAGAATATCATGTGATAAATGCATGTACAATGGGCCACCTACAAATTATTCACAAATATCTTCAATGTAATTACCTTACATTCATGAATTACAATATCAGTAATTTGTAGTTTAAAAATTGGAAAATGTTTTGTTAATAGTTTTTTTATAATTATATGTAGCACATGATGTAAATGAATTTTTGAATACTGGATGGACCCTACTTTTATATGCTGCATCATATGCTCAAGTAGATGTAATTGAATATCTTGTAACAAATGGAGCTGATGTTAATAAGCATAAAGGTATTATATTTTCATTATCTAATGCTTTGTTGATGATATTTTACAATATTAAATAAATAATATATTTCAGATGGATATACACCATTAATGGCTTTATGCAATTGTACTGAAGGCGCAACAGAAAAACGTGTGCAATGTTTAACATTACTCATAAAAGCAAATGCTAATGCAAACACTAGTAGTAAACAAAGGTAACAATATATAATGTATATTTAGATTTTCTATTTGCATCTCTTCTGTAATTCAAAAATTATAATGTTTTGTACAGGCAAACACCTCTAATGTATGCTTGTGCATCACAGGAACCAGAATTTATAGAAGAATTAATAAAATGCACAAAAAATGTTAATTTATGTGATAATAGAAAACAAACAGTAAGTTTTGTAAACCATTTTAATGTAATAATGATTCATGAGAATGTATATATTTGATTATTTGTAGGCTCTAATGTATGCAGCTGTAGCTAATAAACCAGATACAGTTAAAATATTATTAGAAAATGCAGCTGATGTTACATTAACTGATTACCGAAATTTAACTGCTAAAGATATAGCTTCCCTGAAAGGACATAATAAGGTAAGTTAAAGTATTAGTATAAATAATAAAATAATGTTTATGTAATTATTGTAGGTTCTGTTATTGTTAGACTTTAACGAAGAAGAAATAATAAATACTACCGAAATATCGAAAATATATGATTGGAAGGATATGTTTCCATCATTAATCAGTAAATGTGATCAGACCATAGATTGTGATGTGTTTGCAATTTTAAATGGGATGGCCTTAGGAAATTATGCTCATATTTTCCAAGAGACGAGTCTTAAGAATTTCCTAAACTTAACTGAAAATGATTTGTGCCATTTGGGAATAGAAATTGGTGCACATAGGATACAGTTTCTAGAGTACCTCCATAAATTTCATAGAAAAAAGTGGAGCATACATAGTATTGGTGCTATTGACAAGTCGTTACCGTATACGTACGTTTATTACATGATATTACAATTTTGTTAAATTGATTAATAAAAATTTAATTTTGTATTTTCAGGTTATATAATGGTGTAGTTTCTTTAGGTACAGTAGCTAAGCAGCTTGCTGTTATAGGCTCCAGTTTTCAGTATATTAATAACAATTTAACAAAAGCATACAATGAGAATATATGTTTAACTACAGAACAAATATCTAATTATACACAAGAACTTAAGAAAGTCCGAACAACTCTTGGTCTTCTTAAAAAAGAACTTATACAATTAAGAACACTTTCTAAAAAGGTAAATATGCAATCACATACTGTGTACTGAGTCCATATTATGTACTGTATTTAAAAAATGTCATTTTCACTAATGTAGATTGAGAAGGAAAATAATATTGGTACCCCAGCAACATATATAGGCCCAAAAGAATATACCTCAAATTGGCTAATACCCTTGAGTGTTATAGCAATTATGGGAATATACATGTACAGGACAGGACATGTACAGGACATATACAGGAGAATATCATTTCATTTACTATTATTTCCATAATAATGTCTTTCTCTAAATTTATTTTCTTGTTACGGTATATTAATAAATTATCTATACAGAATCTAATAATATTATTTTTTAGAAACGTGTAAAATGCTTAATAAAATACGTAGTGTTATATGTAATACAAACTTTGCAAATTTTAATGTTCATTCAGATTAGTCAACTTTTTCATTAGTGGAAATAATGGGTGAAACGATGGTAGATTATGTTGTCTAACAGTTAACTGATAACGTTCCAACGGTCCACTACAGAAAGCTAATCTATCCCTTTCATTTGGATGTTTATCCATCCATTGAGATAATCGTGCTGTGGACCAACTTGCGCTCTAAAATAACGAAAAGTAGTACTCCTTTAATGGTGTATTTTTTTATTTCAAATTAAAACGTGATTTATGTATTTATGACGATTAAAAAAATAGTTGTAGGGGGGGAAAAAAGCAGCGTGTGGTCCACGAGCCATTAGTTCGGCAGCCCTAATTTAGGTTATTAGACTACCTACTCCATGTTAAACAATTTGTATAATTTCATTTATTTATTCTTATAAACTAAATCAATGCTTTAATTAAAATATAAATTCATATTTCCTTACCTGATGCGGCGATACTAGTTCGGGAGGTGCTGTAGAAAATAAATGTAAAAGTACGAGGGACGGAGGTACACCACTTTCGCCTGCTCCTTCCAAAACTTTCTGGACAATTTCTTCAGGACTAAGTGGTAGCAATGCTTTTAATGTTCGTAATGTTCTGTACTGTTGTTGTTCCAATGAGCCCAATTGTCCACTTCTAGATAATGGAGCAACAGCTACTTCTATCTAAATAGAAACGAATTTAATATTAAATCTTCTTTCTATATATTTTATTGTAACGACATACCTGACTAAAGTCGACAATAAGTTTCACTCTTCCAAAATCGGTTAAAGGTCTTAGTAAGCAAGCGTGTCTTACAAATAGTTCGATGCACCGTGAAGCAACGGTCTTGCAGCTTAAATAATAATCAATAGATCAGTACTATATTATAATTACAGTAAACAACATTATAATTGTAGTTTTTTTTACCAATCAGCGACAACGGCCTGGTTCTTATATGGTGCAAGGAATGTGTTCACAGAACGTAAAATAAATCCTTGTAATTCACGCATGTAGAGTGAGCAGTTAATTTCTTTCCCTAAAGGGCTGCTCGTGCTGTATGAGAAAAATAAACATATTAATCTAAATTAAAAATTGAATTAAGTTATATTCACTTACTCTCGGAATTCTGGGTCATCGTGCATGGTTAAGATAATACTTTCAATGGCATTATTAATAGAAGCCAATAATGGTGATAATATATTTTTTGTCAATGTATCTGTTTCCTTAAGAGCTATAGAAATTACTGTACTTCCTTCAGTTGGCAAACCAGTAGATAGATTTGCTATTACACGACTTATTTGACTAGAAAGATAATAAAGTAGGTTTGCAAGCGACACGTTTGTCTGTTGTATAGTGGTAGGCGAATCAATTACTTGACTAGCTTCTGCGCCTACATGTAATCCTTGTTCACATTTTAAGCAAAAGAGCCTTATAGCCTTGCCTACATTACGGGCAACCACTATCGAAAGGCCATCATCAACCAACGATACACTTAATTCGCTAAACAAAAAATAATAAATTATATTTTTTTTAATATGTGAAAATTAAATAAAACATAATATGCATTCTTCAATTTACTTTGTCACTGTACGAATGAGGCTATCGATTTCATCTTGCGTGGGTAATCCTTCCCCGGAGAACATAGTGTGTACAGGATCCAACAAGCGCGATACAGAACGTGATAAGTATGCATTTTCAAATGGCGACAATACACTATGACTAAAGAGAACAATAAATGTTCTATTTTGTAAAAATAAAATAATTAAATATAAATGTCTTCATACTTACTTGATGTTGTAAATGCCAATGCTTTGTGACCTTTCTTTTAATCGCTTACTTAAATCCAGAAATATTCTTAAAAATTTTGGATATTCGCCCTCTAATGCTTGCTTTACAAACGACGATCCTAAAATACAAAATAATAACTTTTTGAACTATAATTTTATTTTCGCTAATTTAAGAATAAGTATTTATAATGAAATGAATTTAAATAAAATGATTAAAGTTAATATGTACCTTGAGCACGTTCAATTAATACTTTAGAAAGTAGATCATTCACTTTGTCCCAAAATTTTTGTGACAGTTCATCCAATCCTTTTGTGTGATGTTCTAATAGTATTCTTTGTAGTAATTCGATCTGAAATAACAAATATAATAAATATTTCAAAATATAAAATTTTAAATAAGCATTTTTCTATTACTTGTAAACATTGCGTATAAAGAGTATCTTGAAAGAGTCTTTCAAGATTTTCCCAAATTCGTGTTCGCAAATTTCCAGAAGATCCTGGAGAAGGAATTGCCGCCCGTCCAGGTGCTCCCTTTCTTCCAAATTCTTGATTTGTTGATAAAGACACATCTAATGATTCTGTAGCAACTTTTTCAATTTCGGATAAAGCAGAATCCATAACATTATTTACAGCTCCCTTCACGATGCTTAAATTTTCAAATACTTGTACCGCAGTACTAACCTGTTCATTGTATTTAGTATTAAATTTTGAAAAATGTTTTATTTGAAAAAGTAATGGTTACTTATGTACTTTTGTTCTGTCCATCATTTGTAAACCTTGAGACAAGGTATGAGTTGCTATTCTTTGTACCGTTGTTCTGTGAGCTTTCACAGCTTGTTGATCATCCGCAATAACATCTAAACCATTCAAATCTGTATCCATCATTAATTGTTCTGCAAGTTAAGATTGTTTACATTATATTTTGTAAATTTACATAATATGACGTACATTAAATAACAATTTAACATACCAAGTTCGTGTAGACTATTAGCAGCTTTTATGATATCTGGGCCCTGTACATTATTTGTCATTTGAGAAGATAAACGCTTTGATAAATGTTGCATTCTGGCTACTCTACGTAACAGATCAGAAGTTTCATGAAGTCGTGCTAAAACAATAGTTTGTGTCTCTATTCTGTTGAACGGATCAACAATTTTTCCACGTAAACGTTCCGTAGCTGATAGAAGACTCTAAAATGTAAAAATTCATTTTGTAGCTGTAAAAAGTCAATATACTATTGTTATTAATACATAAAAATGTTGTATGTACCTGAACATGAGATTGCATTATTGAAAGAACACCTTCCAATTTTTCAACCCATGTTGCTTGCGATAATAAATCTTTGTGATTTGCCAATACTTGTTTTTGCAGTTCGGTATTTAATATTTCAATAGCTAGAATAAACATAATACATAATAGAACATACTAGCATTACGCATTACATACATCAATTCATTCATTTACCTTGTCCTAGCTTGTTTATTTGTTGCGCTACTGATAATACTTGACTGATATCAGCCTTCTTACATTCAACACCAAAAAATTGTTTGAAAAATTCTACAAAATATAAATTCAAAACATTAACAAATAATTTAAAAAATAATTCGAAATAGATTACCGTCATTTTCTATTCCTTCCCAGCTTGAAATTTCATCCATCATCATGTTAATGGTATCAAAAATACAAAGTAACGGTGAAAGATAATTAATGACACGTCACGAAATTTTTCTGATCGACAATTAATTCATCCGCTTCAACAATGTAGTATCTATCGTCGTACTGTTATTCGTTACCCATATTTTATAGGAAAGAATATGCATTAAACCACATTTATTTACGTTGAACCCAGTGAAAATATCATTACATATGTATATATGTATTAGATTATACGTGGAGGTTTATTGTAATCAGTAGTGATCAGCAGTAGTATATATATTTGACATACGCATGGGTATGTGTCAAGCGAATGTAGAATATCGAAATAAAATTAAATTAACGGATAATTCAAGATAGTGCTGTGTCAAATAATTTGTTTTAAAAAATGATTCACAGTCTATTTATTATCAATTCTTCAGGGTAAGCATCAAGGCATAGAAATTAAAACGGTTGTGACATTTGACGTGATTTGGTTAGAAATATACATGTGTATTTGTTATAACATATGTTTAATGTTAAATAGAAATGTTTTTATTTACAACAAATTTTGTTAGAAAATTTAATTTTATATTTAGAGATGTATTCATGGAGAAACATTGGAAAAGTGCTGTTGCACGATCACTGTGCGACTACTTTTTTGATCAGCAACGAAGAGTTTTATCTCCTGAAGATACACCGCCTGTAATAGCAACACCCCATCATTATCTTATTAGCATATATCGCTGTAATATGTTCTTTGTCGCAGTATGCATGACAGAGGGTACTTTTTTAAACATTAAATGACAAGTTGTTGCAGGTTGATAGATCTTTTCTAACTAACATTTTTCTATTACAGTTCCACCACTATTTGTAATAGAATTCTTACATAGAGTAGTAGATACATTTGAAGATTATTTTAGCGAATGTACAGAGACTATTATAAAAGAAAATTATGTTGTTGTATACGAATTGTTGGATGAAATGTTGGACAATGGTTTTCCATTAGCTACAGAATCTAATATCTTGAAAGAACTTATTAAACCACCAAATATATTAAGAACTATTGCTAATACTGTTACAGGAAAGTCTAAGCAAGTATTTTAATTATTTATTGATAACAAAAGGTGATATGTAATACACGTTTCATTAATATTAATTATATTTTCAAATGACAGTGTTAGTTCAACATTACCAAGTGGACAATTGTCCAATGTTCCTTGGAGACGTACAGGTGTTAAATATACAAATAATGAAGCATACTTTGATGTTGTAGAAGAAGTAGATGCCATTATTGATAGAACTGGAGCAACTGTATTTGCAGAAATTCAAGGCTATGTGTGTTACTCGTACAATGTTCTTAAGTTTAATTCTATATATTGATAAAAATAATGTTTGTAAAATATTATTCAAATTATAGATTGACTGTTGTATAAAATTAAGTGGTATGCCAGATTTAACACTTTCGTTCATGAATCCCAGATTATTTGATGACGTCAGTTTTCACCCTTGTGTTAGATTTAAACGATGGGAGGTAAGGGTAAATCATAATTCAGTTAAGTTTATTATTTACATAGTGAATCAAATGTATATTTTTTTTACAGTCAGAACGAATATTGTCTTTTATTCCACCAGATGGTAATTTTCGTCTTCTTTCATATCACATAGGATCACAAAGTATTGTAGCAATACCAATATATGTAAGACATAACATTAGTCTTAAAGAACCAGGAGGTGGCAGATTAGATATTACTGTGGGACCTAAACAAACTATTGGTAGAACCGTATGTATTTTTCTAAAATCTTATGTATTCAAAAATCTAAAAACTAGCAAACCATTACATTACCACATATGTTTCAGGTAGAAAATGTCACATTAGAAATTCCTATGCCAAAAATAGTATTGAACTGTACCCTTACTCCAAATCAAGGAAAATATTCCTTTGATCCTGTTAGTAAAATACTGTTATGGGATATTGGGAGGATAGATGTTTCTAAATTACCAAATTTAAGAGGCTCGGTATAATAATTATAACGACAAAATCTACAACATTTAAACAAACATTTAGAAATTAAGCATATATATTTATTTTTCTAGATCACTATCCAAAATTCTGCTAGTATATTGGAGTCTAATCCTGCAATTAATGTATGTATACATTAAGTAAAGTATTATGACGTATATGTTATTATAAAATAAAAAATCACTTTATTATGTTTTAGGTTCATTTTACGATCAATCAATTAGCAGTTTCTGGCTTGAAAGTTAACAGATTAGATATGTACGGAGAAAAATATAAACCCTTTAAAGGTGTCAAATATATTACCAAAGCTGGAAAATTTCAGATAAGAATGTAAATAAACAATGTAACAATACAAATATGGAACAAAATCTTGTAATTTATAAAGGTGCAGATAACTAAAAGCAACAAATTAAAAAATTCTTGTAAGATAGATTAGAATACTTTCTTTATTTAAAAATATTAAACTTTTATACAAAAGCAAAATATAATACTCCTAGTAAACCTTAATCACTGTTTAATGTAAACATATATGAATAAAGATAACTCTTTTAACAAAGGATATTAATTTTTATACAAATAAAACGGTCGTATTAAATTTATACTTTGGTACTAAGGACTCAATTATGTCAAATCTGGCCACGCTGTATATGATCGTAAAGGGTTATGTTTTTATAAAAAAATTAATTTAATTTAATTTAATTAATTTATTTACAAATATAGGTGTTTATGTCATAGTTTGTTGACATATTAGTTTCTTAGCTTCAAAATCTTCCCACGTTGGATGTGTAGCATACGTAAATAAACGTTCCATGTTAGTGGCATAAATAGTATGATTACTAACGAGATTTTTGTACATCTGTTTGGAATACAAAAAAAATTAAAAGTATAACATATGTAACATTATTTTAATATATCAGAGCTTAGCTATCTTTTCCTACCTTTAATGTATGCTGTAAATCAGCTGCATTAACTGGTTTCAATGGAGGTGGAATAGTTTGTGGAGAACATGCATAAGCAAATGCTGTAGCTTGTTCTGCCTCTTCGAAGTTTGGTTTTATTGCAGGTACTTGACCGTAAGGATCTACTATTTCTGTTGCAGTGCAGTCTGATGATCGTAATATATAAGTAGAATTTCGTTTCCATGAGCTAGGTACAGGTTCTCCAATATTGTAAATGAAAGAACCTTCTCTTACTGAATATCCCTTTCTTCTTGTAAATATTGCTGTAAGTATATTCTTCAAAAAAATTTGTGTGGCAGCTATAACTATATGTGCAGTATTCTCTTCCGCTCCATCCATGTTATTTTCCCATGCTGCAAGCATTAATCTAGCTAAAACAAACGTTCTGTCTGGTAACACAAGTTCTTGAGCGCTAGAACGATTTGCTCCAATGGGTTCATCTCCAACAGGTGATGATGTTTGGCTCAGTACTTCAACATACATATCTGCAGGCTAAACATAAAGCACAACAACTCTTATTTTAATTATTTAACATTAGGAACGAATAAGCTGGCATCAATTGCTTTACAAACCTCAAAATTTGATTTGTCAGTTTTGTATTTACGCTTCAATCGTAATCTTTTTTCTTTTATGGCTTTATCTCTATCTATTTTTCGAGTTGGTGTAGCAGCAGCTAAGCCTCTGACTTTGTTGAACAAACATAAAAGAAATTCATTATGAAGATGAACCTGGTCTTCTGTCATAATATTCCTTGCTTCGCAATCAAATTCTTCTTTTGTTGTCTGAAATAACAGCATTTTATAAATAATAATACTAACAACTCTATAACATTCCAATATAATGATACATACTTTCATTTGAAACCATAGTTTCATTTTTTCAAAATACCTGTAAACAATAGCAGCTTACAGAATAATCTTTCAAAAGAAAATCATTTTGTGATAAACAAAATAAAAATTCTCTGATCGAAAAATTATAAAGACCCTATTATTTAAAATTTTATAAAATTTGAATCATACTATCCTAAATAATTACAAAATAACCTTTACTTATTGCTTCAAGCTTGAAACGTAATTATCATTTATTTCTTAAAATTAAAATATATCTTACACTTTTGCATTTTCTCCAAGCGATGCAACAAGGCTTTTTCTAGCTAAATTTAATTCTTTTGATGTTGTCATTTTTTTAATTAGTTTAGATTTAACGAATGTTATTTCTTTAAAATGTACTTTATAAATAACGCTTTCAAATTTTATTTTAATTTGTAACGTAATATTTTCAACTTCGTTACATTATTGTCTTTATTTTCTACTCATAGAGTTTTATACAAATGATCTACAATGTTTTTACGTTTTTGTACATATTCTATTGTTCTCTCTTTCTAGTATCAATCGTCGGTCTGCGTGACGCCATCTATGAAATGGGATTCTAACTACTAAAAAGTTATCAGGATCACAGAATATTAAAAGAGGTATGCGATGTACAAGCACAGACGAGGTATAGACTTTACACCTTACGGATTTCGTGATTTTAGCGTCCTCTTCTTATGGATGGTGGTCAGTTGAGAAACTATTCACTGAATTAGTATTGATGGGCAAGACAGCTGTAGTGGTACGTAAAACATGTGAATTGACTATGGAAGCGATTGAAATTCATTTCTAAATCTGTTACCACGAAAATGGTAATGGGGTTTCGAGACCCCATAAAAACCAATGATTAATAGCACTACTACTCTGTTAAGCATTAAATTTATTTTACAAAAACATGAGTACAAAGAAGTTGCATATATGTACAAATATAAACACATATTTAACAAAATTTACTTTATACATTACTGTTTTTGATAGAATTAATTTCAGGAAAAAGTATAAGTTGTAAGAACTATAGAATTTCATAAGAAATTCGCATTTAAAATTTGATTTAGCAGTTCCCTATGTATGCTCCATTATTTGTTGAACATACAACAAAAATGTCTTCTCAAATATTTAATTAATTGTTGTGAATAACAAAATAAGTGTATATAAATTAAAGCAAAGAAAATATAGACGAGATAGTTCGAGTATTGAAATTTCAATTGTTCATGGTTCATAATTATGAGTTTTTAAAAATTTTAAAGCGTTTAATCCCTTCGCGCATCTTGTTTTTTTCTATCAACATAATTTTTACATTCTTTTTGTTCGGTTTCTATATTTGTTTTTATCTGCGTCACCTAGCGTCTTTCGAAATAATTTTGGAATGTACCAGATCCCATGTAATAAGGGTTTTATTCGGTTTAGTACATAGATCCATTATAACCTGAGCACCTTTTGCTGCTTGTAATACTCCTAAACATGTACCGGCTGCCATGTTATATATAGGTGTTCCATTCTATGGATAAATAAATTATATGCGTTAATAAATATAATTTACGTAAACAAAGCAATAAATACTTACAACGCTTTTATGACGCCATTCTTGGTTACCACCCATCTCGTGGCATTTTCCAAGTTTTGGTACTTTCTCTGCTCCTTCCATGCAAAGCATTTGACCAAGTACTAATTCCTGTTTATCTGTTTCATACCACATCTACACAAATGACAACAAATTAAATACGATATACTGTCACCAATTGTAGCAAGTTCAAGGAAAAGATTATTTTTAATAAGTGTTATTTGATTCTCATTACCTGTGACTTAATTCTCAAGCATGATGCTAAAATAAGTTTAGAACCTTTTGTTTTAACATATTTCTCACTTTGAACGCATAACGCTGTATTTGAAAGTCTAATTTGATATTGATCTGTATAATTTCTTTTCCTTGAATGCCAAGGTTGTATCGGTCTTTGTTCTACTTTTGCCCATTTATCTTTTAATTTGTTATTGTTATCATCCGGTAATGTTAATTCAGGATACACAACTTTCAAGTACCATGCAAAATTTTTGCATTTTAATTTCTCTCGTAAATTTAATCTATCCGTGACATCGCCATAGTCAATTTTTTTAACATTTTTTAAGAAGTAATCTTTATATTCATCCATCCAAGTATATGCCACGCGCAACGAATTTTTTAGCATAGTGTCATGTTTATCGTCTCCACCGTACGGTCTACGCCGTCTAAACACATGACCAACTCTGGAACAAGGTATCAGTTCGATGCTTCCACCACACATCCAAATCTGAAAGATATTACAAATTACTAATAAGTCGACAAAATTATGTAATTAAGCGAACTGCTGTCTTACTCTAAATGATATTTCTAGATTTTCACCACCCCAGATATCCATGCCAGCATCATATTCTCCTAGTTTTACAAAATATTCTCTATCCATTGCAAACAACCCTCCAGCCATTGTTGGCGATCTATTTAGTAATTACCAACATATACAACGCCGAACATTATTAAAATAAATATGCATATATAAATATATGATCTCACTTTATAGGTTTTATAAAATCTTCATCATGTTCCAATGTACCAACTGGTAAATTATCCCATTTAAAATGTAGACCCCAGTTGAAGCCGCCTCTTACCAAAGGACTACTAGTATATTGAAATGTGTCCGGATTGATGATATCGATAACTGGCATAGCAACAATGGTTTTCGAATGAGCAATACGTGACAGAAGAGGCTCTATCCACATTTTATTTACTTCTATGTGGCTATCCAAGAAAAGTAAAACTTCTCCAGTTGCTTGTCTTGCACCAAACATTCTTGCTCTGATTAATCCTTCTCGCTTTTCTGTCTTAAAAAACTTTATTTTACCATCGAATTTATTATTAACATATGTTTTGATTTGTTCATGTAAGGCTTTGCTATCGCTCCAATCGTTTACTAAGATAATTTCATGTAAAAGATGTGCAGGGGTCTTTTCAATGATAGAATGTAGAGATCTTAGAAGTGTTGTGTAATGTTCATTGTAAAAACATATAACGATGCTAACATTTGGTAATTTGTTAGAATATTTTTGCGCGTCGCATAATTTATGTCTTGTATCTGGCAATTGTCTATGTAAGCCAATGTTATCCGATACCAAAATATTAAAAGAATAATTTTTATATCCTTCGTCTCGTTTTCGCTGATCATCTAAATTTTTTACCATTCCCAACTCATCTAAATCTGTAAATAAATAATTACTTTGGTTAAATTAATATTTTGTAAATGCTAAATTAAGAATTGAAGAAAATTTATTTTTCAAAATACCTTGTCCTATAGTAACTGATGGTTTTACTGGCACAGGTTGTAATTGTTGTAACAGTTTGTTACTGTTTTTGAAATTCGGTCCTTTTAAGTTATAAGAACCTTTATCAACCAGCATTTCTTTATCATGATGATAAATCAAATTATCACGTAGTCTAAGTTCACGATCGTTGAATGCTTTATGATTAAATGTGGATTCTTTTAATAACTTCGAGGTTTCTGGCATTACCATTGTTGGATTGACAATGTCAGCATTTTGAGATAACTTTGAATATAGATATAAACTGAAAGCCCATGTTATTGAGGCAATTACTATTCCAGATATAAAAGACACGTATTTGGTTGACATCATCTATGAATTACCGAAAAAACAAACACAATTTACAGATGCATGACATATACTCGTATTTACTGATAATATTAACTTTATTAAATCAAACTTTGTACAATTAAGGAAAACTGTACTTACTGTTCGAATACTTGAATATTATTCGGAATTCAAATTGCGATTATCCTAATAAAGTACATTCTGACACATAAAACAATATGCAGATGAGGAACTATAAAATTTGTGTCACCATCTTGAATCGTTTAGTAACAGCTGTTTTATTGATTTTTTATTATTTTAAGGTATTTATAGGCGTCATGCGTTTAAATAATAACTAGAAGCACTATGAAATTAGTTTTTGTATATATATTATTTATGTAATCAATTTTAATGTATTTTCGAAATTTTGTACATCTTTCTGAAGAAATAATCTGAAACTACCAATTGCCCCTGTGGCCTAATGGATAAGGCATCGGTCTCCTAAACCGGGGATTGTGGGTTCGAGTCCCACCAGGGGTATAAAATGTATACTACATTTTTTATGCTTAAAATTGTAATATTGTATAATTTTAATTTCTATAAAGTTATTTTTTAGCAATAGCAATAATATACATATAATTTTGTATGTATAAATAGTAGATACAAACGATTAAACTGTTTGTTGTACAATTTATTGTACAAAAATGTAAAGAAATATTTTTCTAATTCTTTTATTGAATTAAATTATATAATTATCGGAAACGTGGATTAAGTAGATAAAAATCATTTCTTTTTAGTTTCTTTGTTATCATTTTATACATCTGCTGCATAATGAGAAATAAATCGTGCAGATGGATCACGAACTCCTTTTACCCAACGTGGCATCCAGAAGTATGGTGTAAAACGTTCAGCTTGTCCACCATAATGTTTCTCAAAGACGATTCTGAAGCACAAAAATATGTTCTTTACATTCTACATAATAATTTGATCGAATTTGAAATATACAAAGCTTACCTATAATATAGTGCTTCTTTGGTTTTTGGAGTGCAATGAGAATATGCAAGATAAGCATTAGCCATGATTTCATTTGATATATGTTTACCTACAATTTCATGTATGATTTGGAAAAGAGATTTTTTCGCTGATGTTACACCATCGCTGAATGCTTCTTTATGCCTCCAAAGTATGTTTGACGGTATTAGATTGGTACCATCGAATGCAGATCTTAATAAATACTTTTCAATCCCTCCTGTATCAAATGTTATGTTTAAATTTTATTTCTATTTTTTCATATTACATTCTTTTAAATATACCTTGAGGTTGCCTGGAAGTAGCATCCAATGATAGATAATAATTTGTGAACTGAAGATCTAAGAATGGAACTCGTAGTTCCAAACTGAAAGCACTAGTTGTTCTATCTGCTCTCAAGCCATCATATAAATAGATATCGTTTAATAATCGAATAGATTCATCATGAGCTTCTAATGAACCAGGTGCATCTCTGAAATATATATATCCTTGTGCCAGTTCATCTGCACCTTCTCCACTGAATATTACAGTTGTTTCTGTATTATGTTTAATGTATCTTGAGATAAGGTACATGCTGAAAATAAAGAAATTGTTTTATCGGAATGTTGAAAAATACTTTTCACATAAATTGTAATTTACCCAATGGACGCTCGAATTGTGGTAATGTCAAAAGTTTCTAATTGGTAGATGAGTTTGTCCAAAATTTCTGTCACATCCTCTTCTGTAAAAGTTACTTCATGATGTTCTGTTCCTATAAAATCTGCAACCTAATCAATAAATATTGATACTTTAAATATTAATATAATACTTGGTACAATGTTATACGAACTCATTTTTATTCAACCTGTCTAGCTGCAATGATATCTGGACTATCACTCATTCCAATAGCAAAACTTTGTATTTTGTATGGTAATTTTTTCTCTTTTGCATATTTTACGAGTAGAGCTGCAATTAAACTTGAATCTAGACCACCTGATAATAGGCATCCTATTCTTCTATCAGACATTAATCTTTTGTTTACAGCTGCTGAAAGTAATGTTCTTATGTTTCCAAGTATATCTGTAGTATTCAAAGCTAAAAGAAATAATGTATCGCATTATATTATTCTACTTGCTTAAAGTTTAAGAATAATGTTCTTCAAATGCTTTAACAGACCATCCCAAGGTTCATACATTTTAAAATTTACTCTTGTCAGTAATTTTGTTCTACCATTGTCTAAGATTTCATACTGTTCGTAATGACCTGGTTTAAATGGTTCTAATATCCATTTTGATGTTATTTGTTTTGTTATTTCCATAAGTCCCTAAATACATAATTTAACACAGTATTTGTTTTACACTAATGACTAGAATTATTTCTGATTTGTTACCTTGCTCTCTGAACAAACTGCAAGTTGTCCATCATCAGATTTTAATCGGAAAAGAGGTCTAACTCCATAAGGATCTCTACCAATAAGAATTTTTTTATTTTTGATGTCCATTAAAAAAAAAGCAAAAACACCATCAAGCACTTTGGCTACATTTTCTGCACCTTTCTTTGCATATAAGTGTATTAGCACTTCAACATCACATTCAGTACTGTATTGAAATCCATATTCCTGGCCAAGCTATACGAAGATAAATTTACATCCAAAATAATAAAATAATTTCCAATAATAATAAAATAATAATTTGTTAAATAAATATTACTTCTTTATGGTTATAAATTTCACCATTGCATAATAAAAAAAGATGTGGATATGTATAAAGTCTCATGGGCTGCATTCCATGGAAACTATCAACAATAGCCAGTCTATGAAATCCAATATACCCATTCTGTAAATGAAGATTATGAAAATATATTTGTATTCTATTATATTACTATAAACGTATATTTATTAAGGATTTTAATTTTTTAACAAAATCATACCTTGACTGCTTTATCGAATTCAATTCTAAAGGCTTCTGGACCACGATGTACTATTTTTTCAAAGTTCTTACACACACAGGTGAAAGGTTGATCATCCAACCCAAGGAGGGCCCAAATTCCACACATTTTATTATAAATAAAATGTACCTTAATTTGTTGATTCTACAATAGATTATTATAGAATAGTCATAATACATATATAATTATTGTTATACACCCATGTAAAAAGTACAATAAAATATACCTTATAAAAGGAATGGTTTTTAAAAAAATAGAATTCTTTTTTCTTTACGAACGTTTTTATGCGTACTGCGATTCAAATAATGGTTATACAATGTGAACAGAATTGATTATATGGTATTCTTACCTCACACTAGCGTTCTTTATCGATTTCCCGAAGTTGTGCGCAAGCGTCGAGCTCACGTACACGTGGCTCGTGCGGTAGTGTATGCCTGCTATCCCCACCATTCCGTTAGACGCTAAGGAAGTTCGTCGTCACTGTTGTCGATTTCGATGCACTCAATTATGCCCGATCTGGCCACACTGATTCTTACTGTATTTATACGAACATATGAATACACGTTACATATGTTAATTCCACGTGTACGGACGATTGCGCACTTTTAACTAATATAAGACCACTGGCATTTGCGAATTTGGACATTGGACTTTAAGAATTTAAGTATATTAAAAGACTGTTCGAATTGAGGTTAAATAAAAAAAAACTTTCTCTTTTATATTTATTTGTATTTACTTATATCATATGCATTGTATATTTTCCACGGACGTGGAATTTAATTATTCCATACAAACAATCGAAGATTCCTGCTGTAAGTGGTATTATAATATTGAAAATATGCGTAAGTGCAAAACGGATATGGTAATTTATATGTGCATTATTAATATTTCTATCAAAGTAATTCTTTAATTATCATATAACACATTGTGTGCAATTAAAAAGATCAGAGGATATTGTTTTATAGTAAAATAAAGTTGACATAAGTATTTGAATCATTTATGTTGTATCAAAATAAATTTCGAAATATGAAATTTTTCAAAATATCTATGTAACAAAACTATTTATATAATTGAAATCTTTTAACGTTCTGTAGGACATTTTTGTCCATCGATTTAGAAGCCCCTGTAAAAAAAATCGATAATCGATAAATTAGGTACGTAAATGTTTGTTCTACATTCTTTTTTAAAGGTGTGCCGTATCTTTTTGAAAAATTATTAAGTTACCCACATGCTAGGCATATTTTTTTCATTAATCAAGGACCTTAATCGTTAAAGACTTAATATGTTATGTGTATTTAATCGCGTTTTAATACATATTGTTACTTTTCAGACTTGTTGTACATGTCTACATTTCGTTGTACATTAATACAATAAATGAATTACACTATTTATCTAATTAACGAACTAAAATAAAATCATTGCAGAAAAAATATATCAAGCATACTGATATTCTACAAAGATTTTCATCAGCAGAATAACAATTAGTTCAAAATTGACGATTATTATGTACTAATAATAAATAATATACGTAGACAGTCATTAATATAATCGTAATAAAAGAAAATAATTTTCCTTTGCTTAAATATTTTAGAATTTTATTTTCTCCGCTTCAATTTGTTGAACGGTAATATCGATAATAAAAACAGTACATTTTCACAACGATTGTGGATGGTGGCGCCCTCTTTCGATCGAATATAAAATTCGCCAATGCGAAGTGGCAATTACAGTAAGATTGTAGGGGGGGCGCATGATCATCGTTTCTCTTTTCCGGTTTACTCTTTTTCCGTTTAATTCCCTGAGTGCCACGGGCCGGTTTTTCGGTTGTGTTCACGTTCGACGACGTGCTTAATAGTGGAAAGTCGCGTTCATGCGCTACACGAATCAAAGAAAGAAACCGGTGTGTGAGTCGGATATCCAGGCCGTTACTTCGATCAGCTGGTCGTTTGTGGAATCGCCTTGAATGTCGGCATACAAGCGCGCGGGGCAGTTGGCTCTCGCCAGGGCTCCAGGAAGGATGCGCGATCGGGGGTGTGCGCTTCTCGAGACTGCCACCGGTTTTCTGCGTGCCGGCCGCTTTACGGCCTATAACGCGGCACCATAGCCACGGCCATTCAATAAAAAATCCTTACTTCGTGGTTTATTCATCCGTCCGGTGTGAAGAGTGATCGACGTATATTCACGCGAATTGAAATTGTTCGTGGAAAAAAAGGCTTCGTGACAAGTGGCTTTCTACGTTGAACACGATATCGAAAATCATCGATGTCCGTCACTTTGCTTGTGTACTTACGTTTGTAAAATTTAAGCACGAAGTTGAAACATACATTTTCAAGGTTAGAAACGACGATACCCTAAACACGACGACGGAGCGCTTGGCATTTTCACGACGCGCTTAGGTTAAGTGTCATCCTTTTGGCCCCGGCACTGAATGACAAATCGGAAGGAAAGAGATACGTGTCGTGTTAATTACTCTGAAGATTTTTTCTACGGATGTCAGACGAGCGTGTGCATTTTGATCTCGCGAACGACCGATAAATGTTGTTCATTGCCGCGAAGAAACGGAGACGAGGCTCTCGCCATTGCAAGAGGTCAAATTCAACGTATTTGTGCGCGTTCTTTGGTGCAGCGTAAACTTCCGAAAAAAAAAAAAAAAACAAATCCATCGTCGTTATAATTTTCTTTCACGTTCGTGTTACCGACTAACGTATGCACCGGGGGCAAGTTTAAATACGTGTTTCGGTATGCAAGTTTTGATACATTGAATATCTTAATTCACGGTAACGGGCGAAAAGAGTGATGCTAACCGGCTGTAATATTTCCATCAAATTCTGGACTCGTGAACACGCGATTGTTTACGTTCGCTCGTGCTCCAAATGCGGGAAACCGGAAGGAAGTGTATGCAACTCGGCGACAAAAATCTGCGTTTAATGCGTTAGCGAATCATAGGGCCTGTTACAACGTCACTTAATGGCTTGCATGATTTTCGTACTTAATGCAAAACCTAACCTCAACGCGAGCAGTACAAATCACTTACCGTAAGATTGAAATATTTTGTCCCTCGATTATTGTCGAGGTAACAAGGGGGACGAGTCATACGATTAGTTTTCACGACGTCTTTTTTAAACGACTGGGCATTTCGTACTTAACTTCGATCTCAGAAGGGAACACTGTGCCGGCATTACCTGTTTATCAGCAGCATATTGAGTTCAGTGGTGGATAATTTCTTAGTGAGTGTATAAAGAACTTACGAACGATTTTTGATATAATTTCATTGTTATCGAGGAAGCAGCTGGCGACCGAAATTTATTGTGACAAACACCGGATCGATTGTTACGCAAATTATCGACATTGCTTCCAGAAAATTTGTCTACAGTGCAACGCATTATTTCAAGGTAAGATTATCTTTATATCTCGTATTTAATATAAAACATTGTGTGCCCAAGAAAAATTTGAAGCAATATTATGCATGCGTATATTTATACAGAACAAGTTACATGAAGTGTCACAATTTTTTCTCGAAAATCTTTAAAGTTAACGATGTAAAATATGATTTTTACATTTCAAAATCCATAGAGCATTTTACACGGTGTTTACGTACATATTGTTTGTTACCGAATAATTTTTAGAATTTTTTTAATACGAAGAAATATATATATATATATATTTTATATGGTTCATCGTGCATACTGCTGCTAAAAAGTTTTTATGCAGCTCGGAAATGCGTTTTGCCTAATATTTATTTCGTTTTTCCTCGAGACACAGTATTTTGTCATCTTTTCGTGATCTTTTAAAGAATATTTACGATATGATTGCAATTTTTTAAAACTACAACGTACAAAGTAATTCGAGAGTTACTGATTTAAGTAACGTTACTGCTCGACACGCCAACATACTATGTATGTACAGTGATGAGCAAAAGTGTAAACACGCGACGTTAATCTCGCAACGAAACGATAATAATTTCAATTTTTTTAACTTAAGAATGAAAGAAGGATAATTAAAATTACGAGATAAATATATTATCGAAGATGTAACATTTTATTTTCTCTTATAAAATTGATCTGCAAAGTATTTGAAGAAAATAATTACGTGACGCAATGTTTACAGTTTCGCACGCTCCGTCAGAAATAAACGAAACATCAAGTAAACCGTGAAGAAGTTCAGGAATCATAATTGAACGATTATTGCTATTATCTTTACTACAGATAGAATACGTTAGATGAGATTTCTTCGGTTCGACGATTGCGTTGATATAGAAACAGAAAATGGAGCCACCGAGTTAACGTAAAAAATTAACTATTATTTCTCTGCGCGATAAAGGATATTTTCATTGCGAAAAAATTGCAGAATAGAAAACTGTAAACATTGTACGACGTGCCTACCTATTTTCTTTAACTACTTTCTACATTATAATTAGTATAAATGAACATAAAGTGTTACGTTTTCTATAATACATTCCTCTTTTTGATTTTGATCATTCTTTTCTTATTCCTCAGTTTAATCAATTTTGAATTGTTCAGAAAACAGAATAGCTTTGTACAATATATGTTTCAGATTTGAAATATGCTGAAGACTATCACGCATATTTAATAAATTAAAGAAATGGTATAGTTTTATCAAATAAATTTTCTTTTCTTTTTGCGAGACAATAAAGCTTCCAATTGTGTGTAAATATTTTCGTAATTACTTAACGGTGCACATTAGAACGATTGACGAACGTTGCCGTTAGACTATTAATTATCCGCGTTAATTACCGTTACATATGCGGGTAAATCGAAGTCACGATCGATGAACTTTATACGTGCCACTGAGTGTTACATGCTACGTTGCAATAAGTTTTTCCACTTCTATTTAATGAAGTTTAATTTTTCAAACTCGCCTTGAGCAACAGAGTAGAGCATTGAAACACATTTCGGTATTTCAAATGCACAATTATCAAGCGTGTAATGTACTTACGTTGTACGAACCAAAAATATAGAATAAAATTTTTCCACGCGTGGCTTTGTTTTCAAGAAAAACATTGGAAAATTTGTCGACTCAATGGATTTTACCGTAGTATTTCTTGAGTTTTATTTGCATATTACCATAACATTTTTTATTTATTATATTTTTATATAGTTACAAAAAAATTTTTTTTAGCGGCTTTATAATAAACAAATATAAATATGTATTTATTCGTGTCTTTCAGATTTTAGTAACTAAGATATTTGCGCTCTTTTCATTTAGATCGTTTCGATATTCCTTTTTAATAAATATAAACGTACAGATTACGGCAGATGATTTATGCGGATTCGCTTTTATCTTGGAAGATCGGATTTGACTCTGTTCCCAATGCAAACACTTCGACTCGGGTTAGTAACGGCTACTTACGTCATCGTCCTATTTTCCAAATATTTGTAATATCGTTGGAGGGTGGGGAATGCACGTGTGTGCATTTTCGTATCTATAAAACGTTTAGATCGAACGTACCAGTGAGAAAGTCATAAAATTTAATACTTGTTTGCGTCAAGACGCTATTCGAGCATCGGTAAGTTTTCTGTGATTTTTCGTTGCATTTTCTTGGAGTACAAAAAAAATTAATAATTATAATCGTAATAAAAAAAATTGTTTCACAGTTCGTTGCGATTATATGCTTTTCAAAATACATTAGGGAATAACGAGATTAAAAAAATGTCGAAACGTTTCTTTTTCGAGAACTTACGAAGTATCGAAAGGGTGTAATTAATCCACCGCAGGGAAGGTGAAATACTTATCGCATAATTGGTAGAGTTTAATAGTTCCTGATTGCAAGAATGAGCGAAATGTACACTTTCCTTAATTAAATCACTTCAACGAGAGTCTGAAGATAGAGTATACAAAGTTTCAGACTGGCGTTTCGAGAACACGTATTATTGGTTTACTGTGCTTAACTCTATTATTAACTTCGTTATTACGATACTTTGTTAGACCTTGATCAATTCACCACAGCGAATAAACTTTAAAGAATCTTTATAAAGTAAGGAGGAAAGTGAAAAATTGTTTCGCGAAAGATCCAAGTATTAGGTAACGCGTTAAACTCGTATAATCACCTTGATCATATACATCAATTAACAAAGTCGAGTACAAAGTCGTATTTTACTCGAAGACAATAATTATTTGTTCGAAACAATGTTTTCGTTAATTGAAACATTTATTCTGCATATTATTATTCTTAGAAAGATCTTCAAACAGAAATATTTCAAAAGCAATGGCAGTTTAAAATGTATAATAGTTTTGTTTAGAAAATTTTGCTTTATTAATAACTTACGGATCGGTACGTGCTAGCACAGATTAGACCTTGTCGGTAGATCATCAAAGAAACCTTTCCAACTTACAAACCATGTTAAAACAAATTCTGTAAAATGCATTCGTTGTACACTACTGTCTTGTTAGAACAGTATTTCTATTATTGATCCTTCTTCCTTTAGTAGTTTCTGCTTCTCTCTTTCTCGTTATTAGGTTTCAATAATTCTTTTATTTATATGCTTGTGGCGTTCTACTAAATTGCACGTATCTCAGTAACGATTCGCTTTAAACTGCTAAAACCAGAAGACACGAGAAACATTTAAAACGTCGTGTATATGGTGAAGTTTTCACGCGGTCAAGTATTCGCGAGACGCAACACTGACAATTCGTTCCATACGATCTATATACACAGATAGCATATGTTCCTAGATCCGTCGAATCGAATACTGACGATTCGGGACGTGTGAGATCCGACATAGATGACCGCGATGTTATGCGACCTGATACAGACGACCCTGGACTCAATAAACTCGATACAGACGACCTCAGACTCTCATGAGACACAGATAAGTCCGTATTCAAGATACACGCTATAGGTGACTCTGGACTCGAGGCATTCGATATCGATTATTATAGATTCAATGAACTCAACACGCGTGATCTCGGACTCGTGGAACTCAATACAGAAAGTCTGAACTCGGAAGATCGGGTACAGACTATCGGATCGGTCGTAAGTAGTCGGCGCTCCTTCGTCCCAGCTTTGCTTCTCTCTCAAAACAGTTGTGGAACAACTTAAATGTATTCTTCGTTATTACATACACAATAATCTCTTCCTGTTTATTTGGTAGCTTGTCGATTCCTGATGCAACAGAGCTTCCCAGTATTTTAAAAGTCTCGGTATATTCAGTGTATTTCAATACCGACAACAGACGTTGGATAAACAGTTGTTTTCGAGCGGTCTCGGAAAGAAAAGAGCCAACGGATTTGAATCTGGAGACCGAGGTCCTTTATAACCGATTCTTTTGCTAGAAAATTGTTCGTTCAAGAACCGTCTGGCTTTTCCACTGAAATTTCACCGTGTACTCTAAGCCTGGGAGGTTGTCTGTGCCCGGGTTCCTTCGATCGAAGATAGTCTGTTTTGGACTCGACGATACCGTGGGTATCCATGCGTGTTGGACTCTGCGATCTTAAGGTTGCCTGCATCGTTTGTTTCTAGTCAGATATCCTTTGTTTCGGCGTTCATTGTAGCGCAGAGTAGTTTGCATCGGGTTCAGAGTCTAGAGATATCGATGATAAAGGACAATCTCCGTCGTCTCACGATGTTGTACACGTTGATGTTTCGTACCTCGCTTTAGGGACTTGTCTACATCGGTCCTTACGAGCGTTTAATCGTTGATATCAGATCCCATATTTATTTGGACATTCATATCCGTATTGCATCCTCGAAAAAAATGGGATTCTTCGTACCAAGCATCGCGTCGAGCCTCGAAGGCGATTCCTTTTCATTTTAAGCGTTTTATACGTCCTACGTACCGCTTGCTGCATTCGGAGTAAACGGACTTTATTAGTACCATAAGCCGACGAGATCGTACCGTGTCAATCTATTTTATTGAATGCATGTGGACGGAACGCAAATAGCAGAGTATATATGTTTGGCGGTGTGAAGTTAATTTTCACGAGACCGTATAATTGCGTTAGTAATTTTACGCGTTCGTTACAGCAATACCGTACTACAATAGCAATGTAAAACTCGATGTAGTTAATAAAGTATTATTTGCGTTTAAAATGATGTCATCGTCGCCACAATTCGAGACTAATGCGAGCAAACATCTTCTATTATGACTTACGCTCTTCTTTTTTTTTTTAAATCACTTTGCTTTTCACAGTACGTTGAACGGGGTTTTTTTCAAGCATCTCGTAACAATGTACTTGTACTTTCACTCTTGCTTTTGCGAACTGAAAATACAGTTTTCACGTCGTGCAAACGTTTTGTTTTATCTTCGTTAAAAACAATTGTCTTTATTTCTCAGCCAGCAGGCTCGATGTCGTTGAAGTTTCGAGTACCGTTCTTCCTTTTCACGCTGTTGAACATATTACAATCTGAACAGATGATTTTGCTGAAAAAAAT